GTGTGTGTGTGTGCAGGTGTGTTCCAGGTGTGTTTTAGAGGATCATGAAGGTCGAATATAAATATTACAAACACAGCTGATTGATAAATATTCGATATAAGATGATTATTGATAACACTGTAATATTAGCTGATTGAGGATGTAAAGATCAATATTCAGTCATTAAAAATGAATATTATAATTATATTAAAGTCTAACACTAATATTTTATATTCAGTAATATTAATAATATTGCAACATAATGTGAAGCACTAAAGTTCTCACAGTGTAATAATAATAATATTATTAATAATATTAATTGATATTGATAGAAACAGATAATTTCCCTTTGGTTGAACATATTTTTATAATAACATTAATACAGTTAAAGTCAATACTATAGATAATAAAATGTACAATTTAAATATACATTTCAAAATAAAGACCAATGTCGATTTATTTGTGTCGTTAATAAATAAGCAGAATTTCTTTCTTCTGCTGAATACAACTTAATTTATAATTATTATAATTTATTTAAAATGTGTTTATTGTTTCACTGATGATGAAGTTGTGATTTATTAAACGTCTATTTCTTCAAAATGGCGACTCAGTAAGTAAATTTGTGCATAAAGTAACGATTTACTGCCGTTGGGTCAATAAAATACGACGTGATGCAGAAACGTGAGTAAAAAGGTCAGAAAACATTAATTTATGCACAGATTTATTCTTCTCGCTGTGGTTTGTGAAACCAGCTGATCTCACCTTTATTTTATCTTTAAAGCAGAAAAACATCAACAGCACCGAGTGAGAACGATCAGTAACTCTGAATTACACATAAACTGCATATAATCTAAAACACACGTTGTTGGTTTTGATTTCCATTTTCTTTTCTAACTTTACAGTAAAAAATAACTGAACTGATATTCTGTGGTGGTTTGTTGTCGAGGTAATCCTAAACTAATAATTCACTTTAATGTTGTAACCTGCGTTATTAGCAGCAGGCTCTCCTTTATTAGCTTTAGGTATTACAGGTGGTATCACAGGTGGTATCACAGGGGAACTATATCAGGTTACTGCAACAACTGTACTTTATTGGATACTTCAAATACATTTATTCATTTGAAACATCGTTATTATTATTTAATGCCATTTAACAACATAACTTAATACAGAAACGTTCACTGTTTCTGAATGTTTAATAAAAATAAAGATGTATTTCTTTGTATTTCAGAGGAGGATAATCTGACCCAGGATCAGTGATGTTGTCTTCAGTGTGACGTGGATCCAACATGACCGCCGTGTGGAGATTAACAGTGTGTGTGTGCGTCCTGCTGCTGTCTGCTGCGAACGGTCAGTTCACTCAACTTATTCATTTCAACGCAGTCCGGACCCGTTAACCTAGCTTAGCATAAAGACTGGAAAATAATTTAACATTTTTCCTATTTTTAAAGTGAAGACTGCAAACACTGAAACTGCTAGCTTAGCTTCAGGATTGGTCGACACCACTAAAGCCGAATTCACCAAAACACCAAACAGTTTAATAAAAATGTGTCAGTGATTTTATTTTCTCAGGCAGATTTTTGGCAAAACGCAAGAAAGGAACAAAATTAGCAGTTTTGCAAATGAAGTTCTGCCGGCTTTAAAAACAGAATGAGTTTATAACCGCAGTCAGACCCACGTTGGTGGTCCATCTGAAGAATGTGTGTGTGGATCATCAACCCTCCTCATGAGCCGCTAACACCAGAAGAACTTCATTTCCCATCATGCACTGTGGTCAGCTCACAGGAACATTAGAAAGCAGCGTTTTACATTCCTGTTTGTTCGGTTAATGAATTCTTTCTGCAATTAACTCCTGACGCACACACACAACCTCACATCCTGACTGTCTTATATAAACACACACACACACACACACACACACACACTGTCGTCAGTCAGTCTGCATCAGTTTCTGTGTTTCTGTTGATAAGATGCAGACACACACTCCACCTTCCTCTCATTGTGTGTGTGTGTGTGTTTACAGTAGACTAAACACTGAGACTCCTCCTGGCTCCGACTTTCCGACTTCGGGGTGGGGGTGGGGGGGATTCCTGTGAGATGACGCTGCCCCCCTCGCTGTGAAGGAATTTATTATTTTCCCTCCTCGGTTCTCACTGACTGGTTTTAACTATAATTCATTAAATCAGTAAACTCAGCTAGTAAAGACTTTATAATGTGTAAATCTGTTGCTAGGAGACATCTGGAACAGGAAGTCGCTGCAGCATCACAAATGAGCAGAAACTAAAGTTATAGAGGTTGTGTTATTTTAGTCAAATTTAATTTCAAATCTTCCAGATTGAATCTTTATTAATCAGAATTGATCAAGGTTCAGATATGTCGACCACGCCTCACATTACCTCTGTTACTCTGACCGGGGCAGATATTAGCATGCTAATGTTAGCTTTGTCACAGTTTCAGCTGGAAGTTGGTGAGTTTAAACATTTATATATATAATATTTAATAATATAACAACTAAAATCTACATAAGAACTAGTCTGTAAGCTGCAACCTGCTTCGTATTGTTTTTATTTGTTTGTTATTTCTGCCTGCTTTCTTTCTTTCTTTTACTTAGTTTATAAAAATATATAATATAATAATATTAAGTATAACTTTTATTAAATATCATAAAATCGATTGTATTGTATTGTATTTTATTCTCATTTTTAAATCTACTTTATTTATTTTTTTCTTCATTCTGTCTCTTTATTATCGTGTGTGAAGAACTTTGAACTGCAATAATGAAATGTTCTGTACAGATAAAGTTTGATTGATTGATTGGTTGTTTGATTGATCCGCACTGATACTGACGCAGTAGTTGCTCAGTGACTCTCTCACAGGGACGTTATTGACCTCCAGCAGACTTCCTGTCTGACTCTGGTCAGTCGTGGTCGTTAAAGAAACTTCCAGCAGAATCTGATTTGGTGCCGTTCTTCTTTAATGTGTTCGGGCTCCCTGTGGTTAGACTGCCGGCTCTGATGTGTGAGAGTATGTGTGAGAGTGTGTGTGTGGTTTTTATGTGTTATTGATCGCAGCTACACACACACACACACACACACACACCTGCTGTCTGTCTACAGCTGTAATACACTTTATTGTTGATGCTGCTTTGTTGTAGTCCATCAAACAGAAATGTGGGCTGAGCAGCTGCTGCTGTTGCTATGGCAACGTTAAAACCTCAGATGTCTTGGAATATTTAAATAAACTCAGCCGGTTTGTACAGGATTTAAAGTTCAGAAACTGTCGCTGTGTTTGATCGACCGCAGCTTATTAGCACCGTCCAGTCTTATTGAAGCTTTTAAACTGACGATACGACACTCCCCATGAAATAACCTCTGGGATTAATGTTCTTATTTTAACCATAAACATAATCTTGTCCTGAACCGAACTAAACTGCAACCACTTCAAGAGTCATATAATACTTGTTGTAGCTGACAGTTAGCAGGCCAGCTAGCTCAGATAGCATTTCTTCCCTCTTCAGTGACTTGTCACTGAATGAAAAGAACAATCCTGAGATTAAGACGTCAGTAAACAGTCCCTGCAGAGAAAAGGGAGCATGTTAGCGGTTACCCAGTTACAGTAGCTCCCCAGGTAGCTCACGACGTCACCAAGTCTCTAGAAACGTCACTGAACCCCCTCCTGCTGAGAGTTTATTATCAGTTACATCAGTGAATTATTGATTGTCCTCATTCATACGATCGGTAACCTAAATCTTAAACCTGATCAGATATCAGATATTTAATAATGTTTAACTTCAATAATTGAACCAAATAAAGCAGTTTTAATGTTCTCAGTTGTGGAGACGTGGAGACGTTGTGGAGACGTTGT